GGGGGTCACACCCAACAGTACTGAGGACTTAATCCTGGCTATGCGCTCAAGATCACTCCTGGTGGGGCTTGGGGGACCATATGGGATACCAGGGATAGAACCCAGGTGGGCCATGCGCTTGGCAAGAGCCCTCCCCACGGTACTATGCCCCAGGACTCCCAGAATCCGGAATTCCGAGAGGCACAAAGAGCAGCCACACAGGCGAGGGCCCCACCTCTGTCCCTGCATGGACCTCAGTGGAGGTTGGGGAGGCCACAGTCCCAAGGGAGCGGGGGGAGCCTGCCCAACACACAGCCCCAGGACAGGCAATGGGGTAGGCAGGTGTGAGGTGGTCATACCCTGGGGGGCCACACCCCTGAATGAAAACCCAGGTTCAGGCCAGAAGTTATACCCAAGAGGGTTCCCTCCCACGTCCCCCAAGCAGGCAGAACCTTCCAGGGGTGGAAGAGGGGCCTGGGGGTCCCTCCCCACCTCGCTGAGCCCCTGGCCCACAGCCTCTGGGGCTGCCTGCGTGTGGACCCCTCCCTCATGGGGGTTGCAGGGGACGACTGAGACAGCGCCGCGTGGCCGGGGAGCGCCTGAGCCCTCCCTGCCAGACCCCCGCGCCCAGCTCCCGCCCCGGCACCTGCCGCTCGGCCCGGGTGGGGAGGGGGCGTGCGGCAGGCCCGCCCCGCGCTCCCAGCCCCAGACAAAGCCCGCAGCCACCGAGTCCTTTGTTTCCGGCCACACCCAGGGACACGGCGGCCGGCCCAGCCCCCACCGCCGTCCCCACCCCGGTCCGGCTGAGCTCCGCCGACCCCCTCCCCGCGCGCTGCGGGCCCCTGGGGGTATTTTCTGCGGCGCCGAGGCGCGCGGGAGGGGGCGCGCGGCGCTCGCTCCCGGTGGGGTCGGGGCGTCCACCCGCACCCGCCCGGGCGCGGGGTCCGCGCCGAGGCCAGGCCGCGCGCCGCCGGGACCCCCGCGCCCCTCCCTCTTTTGTTCGGCCCCTCACCCATCTCGGGGCCCACGCCGGGGGGCGCGGGGGGCTGCGGCCCCGCCCCCCTCGCACCGTCCCCCGGGGCCGGGGCGGGGGCGCGGCTCACCGTGATGTGCGGGATGCTCTTCTTGCCCTGGTACGACATGGCCCAGCGCTGGCCGCCGCCGGCCCCTGGCTGCTGCCCGCCGCGCGGGGACAAAGGCGCGCACGGCTCGGAGAGGGGCCCGGCTGTGCGCCCGCCGCCCCGGCTGCTCGGCTCGGCCCGCCTGGCCCCGCCTGGCCCCGCTCGGCCCCGCTCGGCCCCGCTCGGCCCCGCCTGGCCCCGCCTGGCCCCGCTCGGTCCGCACCGCACCGCGCCCGCCGCTCGCCTGGCTCGGGGGAGGGCGGGAGGCGGAGGCTGCGCGGGCGCGCGGGCGGGGGGAGGCGCCGCTCGGCCCGGTCCGCCCCCCTCGGTCCAACCAGGAAGCGCTTCCCCCTCCGAGCCCTTCTCCGCCCCCCGCCCGCGCCCGCCCGCGCCCGCCGACCCCCGCCCGCAGCCCGGCCGCCGGCCGCTCCCGGGACGTCGCGATTCTGGTTGTCCCCCCCCCCCACACACACACACCCGGGCATCCTGCAGAGCGAGAGTGGGAGTCCGGGGTCCGGGGCGCACGCGGGCGCGGGGGTTTGCGGGCTGCCCGGGACCCGCCCCGGGGCCGCCCCTCCCGCGCCCCGCGTCCCCGCCTCCGCGCCGCGGCCGGGCGCGGTTGCTCCCGCCGCGCCGCGCCCCCCGGGCTGCCGCACGCAGCTGCGGGCGACCCTCCGCGCCCACGCTCGGCCCAGACAAAGCTTCCCCGCCTTGCACGCGCGTCCGCCATGACGACTCCAGGAAGCCCCTGCAGACCCCACTCACGGCTGCCCCCGCCCTGCGCGCTGCAGGGACCCACCGCCTGGGCGCAAGGACGCGCGGCCGCCCTGCTGTTAGCCCAGGCCACCTCCCTCGGGGCCGCAGGTCATCTCACCGCCCAGGGCCCCCAGCCCCAACAGACTGATTGACAGGAGGCCGGATCCCCACCCCCACAATAAGGTCCCCAGGGGAGGAGGACAGGCACCCAGGAGGCACCGGACACAGCTGCATCCTGGATCCAGGCGGAGACCCGCGGGAGAGCAAAGGAGAGAAAGGGGTCAGCGGCCCCCAGCTCTCACCAGACAGGGGCCCCATGCCCCCAGAGAGTCAGACACTGCACCGCTCTCACCCAGTGTCCCCAAAACCCAATCCACAGCTCTGTCAAAAGCCGCCCTTCTCTTTGGGGGGTTGGGGCTGGGGAGACACCCGGGCTTCCAGGGGCTCACTCCTGGCTCTGTGCTCAGGGCTACTCCTGGAGGTGCTGGGCCTGGAACAGGGGTCAGCAAGCGCCTAACCCTGCGCTGTCTCTAACCCAAGTCTTGCAGTGGGTGTAAAGCGTGGCCTAACACAGCTGCCACCAGGGGCCTGTTCCCTGCCTGAACACAGAGCTGGAGTATAGGGCCACCAAGGAGAAACGGCGCAGGGTTCCCCACAACACACCAGGACTTTCCATTTCAAGGATGGGAAACTGAGGCAAACAGGTGAAATGGTCACCTCAGCCACAAAGCTCACTGAGACTTCAGCAGCCTGGAGGCCAGGCTGCCAGGCTGTGTCCCTGCCAGTGGTGACAGCCGCAGGAGATGCCCCGACACACACCTGACTACAAGTGAAGCGGCACACACACGCACACACACCTGACTTCAGGTGGAAACGGCACTCACAGACACACATCTGACTACAGGTAGAGATGGCACACATGTGCGCACACACATCTAACTGCAGGTGGAGACAATGCACACACGTGTACACACATATGACTACAGGTGGAGATGATACACACATGCACAGAGGGGCAGGCACACACACCAGACTGCAGGTGGTGGAGATGGCAGACACATGCACACACGTGCACACACGTACACACACGGACACCTGACTGCTGGTGGAGATGGCACACACGTGAACACAAGCACACCTGACTGCTCATGGAGATGGCACACATGTGCATTCTCTTGTGAAACTGCATGTGGAGACACCCCCCCCCCACACACACACACACACTCCTGCATGCTCTTCCTCACTGCCTTCAACCCTAGGTTCCAGCGCCTCCCACACCCCCTGCCTGATTTCTCTGGGGTGTCAGTCTGGGCAGGGAAGCTCCGGACCTGGGTAGAGAAACACACACATACCCAAGGAGACACTGGTCGGTCGGCCAGACAGCCCGCTGCTGCCCAGCTGACCCAGTTGCCCTGGGCTAGCAGGGGCTGCGCCTGCACCTCAACAACTCCTCCTCCCTAGAACAGAGGTGGGGGTGGGGTGGGGGCTGGTACTGGTGCAAAGCACCCCATCAGAGACCCCAGTGGGAACAGGGTCCGAGGCCCCGGACCCACTCCACAGTGACCATAAGTCTCTTGGTTCCACAGTCCTGAACCTCAACGGCTCCCAGGGCTCCCATGGGCTTTTGTCCAGTTCTGGAGAAGCCATGGAGAAGAGCGAGAGGGTGGGCAGGGCGATCCAGGACCCGAGCACCAGACGTAGTTCCAGACAACTGTACAAAGCCTGCCCAGAGTCTCTATGACACTCCACAGGGCTCTGTCCACGCTGGGCGACAACTAGGCACCCCACAGCACAGAAGAAGCAGCGGAGTTCACATACCAGGTTTCCGGGGCGTGGGGCCGCTGCTCAGACACACAGCGGCAGCACCCTCAAGTGAGCTCAGTCCTCGGGGAAGATGGGGCAGAAGGCGCAGCTGGCAGATGCTCCCACATCTCCCTCTCGCCCTCAATCTCCCAACAAGCCTCCCTGCCTCATTCTCAAGTGCTGAATTCAGGACCCTGGAGAGTTCCTACGCCACCCTAGAACTCTCTAGAGCAGCTAGAGAGTGCCCACAGAGTGGCACTCAGAATCACCTCCTCCAGAAAGCCCTCCCTGCTTCTGCTCCAGATCCAGCTCTGTTCCCTCCTGGGTCACTCTCTACCTCCAAATGCACGGAAGGAGAGGAGGGACAAGAATGAGAGTGACATACAGCTTCCCCGCATCGACTGAATCCCTTCCTCCCCCCTCCTCCCTCCCTCCCCACTAAGTTGATTCTCATAGTGAGTCTGCCTGGCTCTGGCCCCGGGTGGAGCTAAGGCCAGACGCGGGCCCCAGCCTGGGATCTGAACAGGCTTGCACAAGGAGTGGTGGGCTGGCCTGAGCTCTGCGGAGCCCAGGTCTCCCTTCCCAGGCACCCTCTCTTGCCCGACCTCACTGCGGTCCACCCATCCATGCCCCCACTACTTACACAGGGCGCCCCCAGATTGAGGGAGCCGGCCTGGTGCTCTGTTCCCACACTCCCAGCGAGCACCATTTCCCCAAGTGTGGGAAGCCCCCCAGGTCACACTGCAGAGAGAAATGGGGCTCCGGAGGGGACTGGGGAGTGGCGGTTTCCAGCTCCATCAGCCCGGCAATCTGAATCTCAGTCACTCTCACCCCTGTGCCCCGCAGCAAGCCAGGCAGAGAGAGACGCGCGGGGAAGCCTTTCGGCCGCAGGTGACCTACCCACCAGCCTTCCACGGATGGACGCTCTCCGCTCTGGGCGCCTGGTGCCCCCCCCCACCCCGGGGCTTTCCAACACCAAAGGAGAGAGCCAATGAATCGCTGCACGGAGGCCTGCGGAACACGGTTCTCCTGATCTAACACTGCATGGATTGGGGACCCCTGGTTCAGATGCACCCACCGGGCCCGCTAGTACGGACAGAGGCCATGTGGTGCCTTTGGTCAACTTACTTCCCTGCCCGGAACCTCGCTCTCCCTTATCTGCAGAAGAGAACTGGGTCCCTCTGGGGGGAGGGGGGGCTTGCCGGCAACCCCGCCAACTCAGGAGCTCCAGCAGGGTGGGGTGGGGGGAGGGGTCTTCCAGAGCGCCCCCCGCAGCGGCAGCCCCCGCCCTCGGACCCCGCCCGCGCCGCGCCCCCGCACCCCCGCGCGCCCCCAGGGTACCTGGCCATTGTCCCGGCCGAGCGGCAGGTCGCGGGGCGCGGGGCAGCGGATGCGCAGCGCCGGCGGCGGCTCCGCGCGCTCTCCGGGCGAGCTGACGGCCGAGCCCGAGGGCTCGCTCACGTCGCTGGCCGTGTCCTCGCTGCCGCCGGGCGCCGGCAGGCCCACGGCGTCCAGCCGGCCGGCGCTGCGGGGCGTGCGCGCCGAGCCGCGGCGGCCCACGCTGTACGCGTCGAAGTCGATGGTCTTGTTCTCGTAGGCGCCCTCCACCGCGGCGAACATGCCGCCGTACTTCTGCCGCGGGGTCTGCGCCGCGCTGCCCGGCCGCGCCAGGTACACGGGCAGGTCGTCCTCCGTGTTCCACGCGCGCCGCCGCTCCGCCATCGCGGCCCTGGCCACCGCCGTGCGCCGCGCTCGCTCGGTGCGGGCCCGCGGCGGCCCAGGCGCGACTGCGGCCCGGGGAGGGCGGGGCGGGGCGGGGCCGGAGGGCGGGGGCGGGGCCGGGGCGGGGCCAAGGCGGCCCAGGCGCGACCGTGGGCCACGGGAGGGTGGGGCGGGGGCGGGGCCGGCGCGTCGGGGGCGGGGCCTTGGCGTCCCGGGCACGACTGCGGGCCGGGGAGGGCGGGGCCGGGCGGCGGGCGGCGCGCGCGGCTGCAGCGGCTACAAAGGCCCGGGAGGCGGGCACCGGGCGAGGGCGGCGCGGCCCGTGACGCGCCTGAGCCGCAGCGCCGAAGGCGGGCAGCTGCACCGCAGTGCCCTCGCCGCACCCCCGAGCCCCGCCCCCGGGCCGAGCCCGAGAGGCCCCGCCGGGAGCCGGCCCCGCGCGCGCACACGTGCGCGCGGACACACGCGCGCCCGCGCCCGGGCCCGCGGGCAGGTGCCAGCACGCCGGCCGCGCGGACACGTGAGCGGACCACACTCGGGCGGGCCCCGGGCGCGAGGGCACCGCCAGCCGCGCGCCCGCGCGCCCACATGCGTGCACAGGTTCTGCGCGCGCGTAGAGCCCGAAATTCCGTCCGCGGCCGCATCTGCAGCAGCACATGCGTGGAGATGGATTGCAGCCAGGCACACGCTGCGCGCTGGACACGGCAGCGTCCATCGCCACGAGGTGCTGAGGACAGCGACCTGAACAAACTAGACCAAGCCCTGCCCTGGAAGCTGAGATTTTTTTTCCCTTTTGGTTTTGGGGCCACACCCGGCGATGCTCAGGGCTTCCTCCTGATTCTGCGCTCAGGAGGCACTCCCGGCAGTGCTCAGGACCATGTGGGATGCGGGGATCAAACCCAGGCCCGCCGGTGCAAGGCAAGTGCCCTCCCTGTACTATGTCTCCTGCCCCAGGAGCTGAGATTTTAAAGCAGGAGTGGCCGCGCCCTGACAGGCGGGGCCGGAAGGAGGCATTGGAGGCCGGAGCCTGCCCAGAACCTCGTTGGGCACAGTCCAGCCGTCGGCCAGCAGATGGTCGCTCAGAACAGGGAAGGGAGACTCGCAAGGGCCCTCTGGAGACGCAGGTCAACCCCAACCCAGCCAGAGCCGCACCCAAACCCATTCCAGAGAGGAGGGAAGGCAAAGCAACAGAAACAGTCCAGGGAAAGCCGCAAAGAATAGAAACAGCCCCCCCCCTCACGCCTCCCCTCTGCCCGTCCCCCTCTGTCTCTCTGCTACCTCGCGGCTCTCTCCATCTCTCTCTCCGTCTCTGTCTCTGTCTCTCTCTCTCTCTCTCTCTCTCTCTCTCTCTCTCTCTCTCTCTCTCTCTCTCCTCTTCCTCTCCCTCTCTGTGTGTGATATCCAGATAAATATCCCCCATCCTGGGTCATGGGGTTATGACCCATGACCCTCCCCCCCTTCACAATCCCATTCAACCAGGAATCTGCAGACTGGGATCCAGTTTCCTCTGATGGGGTTCAGGGGCAAAGGCAGCCTCTGCATACACCAACCCCCCCTCACCCCTTCACTCCTGAACCTCCCTAGAATCCCCTCCCTTCCCATCATTACCTCCGGGTCTCCGGGGAGCCAGGGTCCCAGCTGCTCCTTCTGGAGGGAGGCGCAGGCTAGCTGTAGATCCCCCTGCTGGCGTGTCCGGGCAGGCCCACCCAGGCCCACCCCACCCAGCCTATGCTGGGCGCTGTCCCTTCAGCACCCGCCCAGCTTCCGTGTTCTCTGAATGGGTGGGGGGGAGACACTTGAGTCTTTGTCATGATACCACCCCAGAGTTCTCGTCCTTCAACCTTGGGGCCAGTGCTTTGTGCCAAGAGCAGGGGACAGTGGCCCCTGGGGCCTCGGACACCTGCCAGCTGTTCAGGCAAGCTGGAGCTGAGTGGGCAGTCTAGCAGGGGCTCCCTCCCCTCTTGTCTCTTTGATTCTTCTGTGTGTCTGTCTGTCTCTCACTCTGTGTGTGTCTGTCTCTCTCTTCCCACTCTCCCTCCCTCCCTCTCTCCGTGTATGGCTGGTGAATGGTATGGAGCACAGAGGTGAAGATTCATGAAATTCCAACCTCCCAGGAGCTCCGAGTCGGGAGGGGAGGGGGGAGAGTGAGCAGTATGAAGGCAGGGCACCTCGGGGCTCCCACCCCCACTCACTCTCGGCCATGCCCGCCCCCGTGACCGGTCACCAGGCACAGGACAGAACCTTCTGTCCTTTGTTCTAGAAGTCCAGGCTGCATTGCAAGGGTTTTCGGTCATTTCAGGGTTCTTGGGGCCCACTCCCAGGGGAGCAGACAGCAGAGGCGGCTCTGCAGGGAGCAGGAGCCCAGAGATATCTGTGCCTCTCGGACCCGCACGCTGGGCTCACCAGTGCCGGCCCGGCACTGCCCGGAGGCTTCCAGGTCAGGCCTGCTGGTGCCGCAGGGACTGTGCAGTGCCGGGGATTAAACGTGGGTTTAATCAGACAAAGCAAACCCCACCCTCTGCAAATTCATAGGCGCACCTGGGTCCCTTCAGTGCTATTTCCAGCTGGGCCGGGGGTCACCCACAGTAGCACCTGAGACTAAAGGCCACAAACCACCCAAGGATGTGTGCCTATTCCCACAGTCTGGACCCGGCCACTCCCTCCTGGACGGCAGCTGCCCCCCGTGGCCTGACTGCGGCTGAGCCCCACCACCCCGGCACTCCCCAGGGCTCAGGGTCCCACCCACCTGCTGAGCAGCCAACCCAAGCTGTGGGAGGTGGCACACGGTGACTGGATTTCAGGGCTCGAGCATCCCAAGGGCCCATTCATTTGGGAGTATTCGGGGCCTTTGGAAGTTTCAGGGTGATCCACATTCAATCCCATGCCCCCCACATCACTAGCCCTGAGCCCCCTGAAAGGAATGAACACACTCGCATGTAGCCAGGTGTTCTAGGACAAAGGGCAGAAGGATCTGTTCTGGTGCCTGGTGACAGAGGGACACATCTCTCCAACCCCGCCCCCAAATTACACACACACACACACACACACACACACACACACACACACACACGTTTATATATATTCTCTGCGGGCCAAAGAGAAAGTGCAGTAGTTAGGGTACTTTCCCTACATGCAGCCAACCTGGGTCAATCCTCAGCATCACACAGGGCTCTCCCAGCCGCACCAGGAATGATCCCTGAGCTGAGAGCCAGGTGTGTTCCCTGAGCACAGCTGAGTGCGGCCTCCCAACTAATTTATTAACTAAAACATTAAATTTAAAAAAAAAAACCTCATCTGTAAGAAACGCATTTTCCAAGACCAAGAGAAAGGAACTGTAGTTATTGGGTGCAGGGCAGGAACGGATCCTTGCACTTGTGTGATGTGGAAATTGATGCTCAGGGAAGTCAGGCCAGATACCCAAGGTGACAGAGCAGTGGGTGGCAGGGCCAGAGTTCAAACTCAGGCCAGGCAGACTCTAAAAAACACTTTCTACCCATGCTGGTCCAGGCTGGAGAGAAGCACACAGCAGGGCACTTACCTCCGCGTGGCCGACAGGTGCCATGTACGGTCCCCCGAGCCCTGTCAGGACTCTGCCCTGAGCACAGCCTATGTGACTGAAAGTCACACCACTGTGGACACATGACCCAAACTATAGTAAAAACCTCAAAAGCTGCTGCTTGGGGGGCTGGAGCGATAGTACAGCGGGTAGGGCATTTGCCTTGCATGCGACCAACCTGGGTTCTATTCCCAGCATTCCATATGGTCCCTGAGCACTGCCAGGAGTAACCCCTGAGCATCGCCGGGTGTAACCCAAAAAGAAAAAAATTAAATTAAAAAAAAGAAGCTTCTGTTTTTCCTTATGGCAGCAGCGCAGGCAGCAGCGGGTAGCCTGGGGCCGCCCCAGAGACGCTCCTGCAGCCGAGCGGCCTGCCGTGTGCTCAGACCCACAGCAGTTGTGGGGTCATGCTCTGGGCTCTGGGTCCCCTGTGCCAGGCGTGCCTCCCCCCCCCCCGGAGCGCCGAAGGCCCGTTTCTGCCTCAGAGGAGTGGGGCGAGCCACTGCCCGGCCTGAGGGTACCACACCGGGCCCTGTACCTGGCTGCATCTCAGAGCAGCTGTGACAGAGGAGCTGGGGAGAGAGGGAACAGCAAGGCCTGGGAAAGGAGCCATGTCGGGAGCGGGGCAAGCGGGCAGGAAACCGAAGGGAGACGAACAAGACAAGGAGTGTGGGAGCCCCTGGGAGCTAGAGACGGCAGGGGCACAAGCAGGGACCGCCCTGTCCATGCCTGGAAGGTGACCGTGCCCGGCCCCTGAGGACCCCCAGCTCCTGTAGCTCCAGCTGCAGGGTGGATGAATGAATGAATGGACCAATCTGTGCTGTTGAGCCACGAGGCTCGTGGCACGTGGCTCCTGCGACCGCAGCCAGGGTGGAGGGCACGCCACCGGGGCGTGGGCTGCGGAGAGACCCTGCACATGTCCCCCACCTCCGCTCCCCAGCCAGTGTCCTCACAGGTCTCGCCCTGCCACCATCCCTCAAGAAGTCAGACGTTCCAAAGGGACCAAAAGTTTAATCTGAAAAAGGCGCACATTCTTAATGTACAAAACTACACAAAGTATACATTTAACTCACATAGAAAAATACATCTCAGTAACAAGAGAAAAAACGCCGCTTATTTTACACAGGACCGAGGGACAGTCACAAACACACCCGGCGGGGTGGGGGGAGTCGACAGGGCTGGCCCAGAACTGGGCAGGGGCTCCTCCACCACACACATGGCTTGCGACAGCCAGGGGTGTGCTGGAGAAAATCCCAAAGGAAGGGCATTTGCTCCTGCTGCCCTGCCCCCACGGAAACCAGAGAGAGAGAGAGAGAGAGAGAGAGAGAGGGCAGATGGAGTATGCTGAGGCATACTCCGGAGCAGGCATTGGAGTATGCTGAGACGCGGACGTGGCCTGTGTGGGGCCCAGAGAGGTGCGGGAACGTGGGTTCCAACCCACGTCTGTGCTTTTCAGCTGCCAGCTGCCCCCGGCCCAAGCCTCCACCTGGAGAGGGGCCGGGGGACTGGGGGTGTCCT